ATACATTATATCTTGCATTTTATTTATATCTCTTTTTTCAGAATTGCGACTTTACAAATCAATTGACATTCTATCTTGCACTTATTACTCTCACAGTTGCGACTTTTCTCAGAATAGTGACCTTTAACGTACAATTTGACAATATGTCTTCCAGTTGTGACTATCTCACAATTGTGGTTTTATATCTTGCAATTATGGCTTTATCTCAGTTGTAGCTGTGTGACGTTATTTCTTATCTTAAAATTAATCTCGCAATTACCTTTTTTTTTACTTTGAGGCAGAAACTAGGTTCCATAAGAAACCCCTCAAATCTTACCAACTTATCCGTTTTTTCTTAGCCGGTCAGCAGGGTGAGCAAGTCAGTGAAAGCACACTATATAAACACTCCTCAGGGACCAGAAAGTGATCCATCATTGTGCACTGCCATTGTAATGCTTCTAAGACTGATTAAGTCAAAGCCAGCTAAATCATCTGAATTCCTGCTGTGCTGTGGCCCTTGCTTTCTAGATTAAGATGAAAAGGCCTGCGCATTCCTCATTTGATAATTAATGATGCAACCGTAACGCGTTTCTGACGGTTGCGTAAGAGCTCATTAGCCATTACCTCCAACAACACACATTTGGATGAACACACTCTTTATTAAAAGTCTACAGCCTGAATGAAGCATCAACTGTTTACATTTAGTTAAAGAGCATGTGAAAGGTGAACGTCCTCTCACTGCAGTCCAGAAACACAGTCTGGGTTCGAGGAAGTCGTAAAATATATTTGTAAATGCAATAAGGGTGATAGACGAAAAAAAAAGTCCACTCGTGGCTTCCGATTTTATTTAGGAATGATCTAAATTTAGAGGCAGTGGCACCAATAAGGCAGAATGGAACTGATCTGAATCTAATGACCTCTGAGCTCATTTTTCCTGTAATCTGACAGGTCGTAAGGTTGCACCAGTGGTCATTAATCTAGCAGTAGGGGATAAATACACATCTCTATTTCCCGCTGAAAATCTGACAGATTGATTCGCAGATTATATTGTGCTAAAATGACAGAGTTAAAATACGTAGATGCAAAAATCACTCCTTCATATGCCTTTTTTGTTGTTGTCTTTGAGGGGGAGCTTGGTTATTTGAAAAGTAAACAAGATATCCAATATGTGGAATGCCAAATGCCAAAAAAAGATTTATTTGGGAACAAATCAGTTCTTATTATTTGACAAAGGAGCTGCCACACAAAAATAAACACAGTGAAGAGTTTTGCACTGAGATCAGCCAAATCTAAGGTCCATGTAAAAATGTGTATATATTGTTAGCATGATGTCTAATCAATTAATAGGCAAGCGATAATGTCTCTTAGGGTCCTTTCCTAGATTATAACCACCTACCACCGAAAGTTATTAACTATTTGAACACAAATTAAACACATAATTTTATATACGGATAGTTTAATTACAAAAATACCTTATAAAGATTATGGATCAATAAAAACAGCTATGAAAAAAATGAAAGGCTGTTTTAGAAAACGGTATAGGATATGCCATTCATGTCTTGTGCAGTATGTGACAGAGGGAGAGGGAAAGAGAGCAATTGAGAAGCTTAGCTCATCACTGAGGAGCAGTTAAGGGTCGCTGACTGAACGTAATGGTGCACATCATTGAACCCTCACTGAGGGGGCGGTATCCATATCTATTTTCTCTCTTGGTTACAGAAATACTCTGCAACTTAAAATATCAAAAGCAAAATGAGTCTGAAAAAAAAAAGCTTGAAGATTTAGGTCATTATTAAATGTCGACAAATAAACGCGCTTTAAACTTGAGCACCAAATTAGCATACTAGAAGGGTTTCTTAAGGATCATGTGACACTGAAGACTGAGTATTGATCCTGAAAATCAGTCATTTTAAATTGCAATGTCACAATATTACTGTATTTTTTAATCAAATGCAGCCATCGTGCAGCTTATTTTAAAAATATGGGGGGGGGGGGGGGGGCTACCTAGAAGAATATTAAGTCTTTGTCAAATACTGTATGTTTATTCGTGTATGTGTATATACATATTTAGAAGGTTTATTGTGATTATATAAACACTAAAATCTGTTTTTTGTTTCGAAAAAATATTTTCATGATTTAATCACAACATTTTTTTCTTTTGTCAAATCAACTTAGATAATTTATGTAGTTCAGATAACATAATATTTTGAGTTTCTGGTGATTACATTAATCTCCTTCATTCTATTAACTCATTTTCCATTTCAATGAACTTAAAATTTTAAGGCAACCAGGTTACTTAATTTTTTTTAAGTTAAACCAACAGCATGTTTTACAGCCTAAGCTTGATTGTGAAAAAAACCCCTGATAAACGTAACCACGTAACTTTTATAAGTTTTATGAGTGTAGTACTTCAACCAAGACCCTTGCAATACCCTTTAAAAGTTAGTAACTATATACATTTGTGGCTTAATGGATCTCAGTGTGTCATTCACTAGTTCTGATTTAGCACAAGGGGAGGCTGTGTCGAGGAGGAGGCCGGACGGAGTAGAGACTGGGGGCACACAAGTTTTACAAGATTCCCTGGAGTGAAGAAGCGCTCTCCATCATCTGGTTGTGACATCCCACTGAGTAAGACTTATGGGCTGACACCTCAATAGGGACATGGCTAATGCGGGACGGCATGTGGGTTAAGATAGGGCTCCTGATCGCCCCCACCCATCACAGCCGAAATGGCTCATCCTTTAAGAGGTGCACATTGCCGGCTGAACAGATATATAGGTGGGGATAAAATACTCACGTATGGGGAGTACCGTGTACCCGTGTGATCGCTTCTTGTCTCTTCAGAATTAAAAACGTATGGGCCTGCCATGGTGGTCCTTGAGGGGTATAATTCAATCAAAACAGCCGTCCGCTGAGCATTCTTATTTCTCACTGGATTCGTAGTACGATGAGAAGATTAACAACTGGTTGAAAGAGAGAGCAGTCAGAACTTTGGGTTTGGGCTAATTTAAGGCCATATAAATGATGTGGATGGTGAACTTTAAACTCTGCTGACCTTTGACAGTAGTGGGAAGGCGGAGATTATCTTCTTGTCTCTCAATGTGAGGTAAGATGAGAAGGCCAGAGTGTAGGTGATTCACAGCTGTAGAGGGAGAACAAGACTGCACTGCCTTTCTTTTTTTTTTTCTTTTTCTAAAAGGAGGGTCTTGGCCTTGCAAAAAGTTAAATGTAAATATTCATATGCATGCTTGTGCTCTAGGTTTAGAGCACACTTTTGTCACAAAAACACAAGTTATTGAAAGAGAAAATTGTGGCAGGACAATTTTAATAAGTGACTGTAATGTGTCTGTTCTTTTTAGTGAATCAAAAACAGCACATCCAGTGTAGTCAGATTACCAAACAAATTATTCCAACCACTGGTTTAATTTTTTTCATTACATTTTTAACCCAACGTTTGGGTTTGTCCATATTTGACCCAAAGTTGGGTTAAAACAACCCAGCATTTTTTTAGAGTGAATGAGTTGGTTCATTTTGGCGAATCAAAAACATAAACTGAATGAATGATTTTAATCAGTCAGTTCTTTTTAGTAAAATATAATGCAACCAGCATAGTCCCATTCCCGAAATGATTGAAATGAGTTGGTTCTTTTTAGTTAATTTAAAATACTTAAATCAGCGTAGTTACTGGCTTGTTTTTAATATGACAGTGTGTAGTTTAAGACAAAATATGGCATTCTTTGGCAAGAATCGTTATAAATTTAATTGATCAATTTATCTAATCATCTGGCAATGGAATGTTCAGAAATGGAAGATTATTATGAGGTACTGGACCCAGCACCATTCAGTTCTTTATCATTTCTAAATCATGGTGCAGAAATTAAGCAAAGCACAGTGGCCTAAACATGTAGCGACAGCAACCCCTATAAACAAAAGCGAACTTGTTTGCGCTGAATGTTGTTCTAAACTTAAACGAACACACAGCGGCCTAGCAGTGCGCATACGGGTCAGGCTAATTTGCTGTGGCAGTCAGGACATGGTGATGGAATGTGAATGTCAGCAGGCTCTGTATTTACACACTATATAAAACCGACTAGTAATTAACACTAGGGCCCTCCCGCGCTCAAGTGTAATTGACTGTTTCAAAGGACTGCCACTTCATAATCCAGTGTGTGTATTAAAATTACGCTCTCCATATTGCCCACTCCTTCTAAGGATAAGGGTCAGTACTGCTGGCACAGTGGCTGAAACGCATAAGATTTCTTTACGAGGACATTAACATTTTGACATATTAATAATGAGTAAGTGTATTAAGGTGAACCTCTAAGGGACCTTGCGATTTCATCAAGAGGTGCACATTTGCTTTCTGCTGGATGATTTTAGTGCTAGGCGAACTGTTTTTGTGAGGCATGTTAATTTGAGATGAAAACTCATTTATTTTCCAAAAATATAGCTTATTAAATATTACCGGATGGGCTAGTGTATGTAACATTATAGCATAAACCATGTTAACGCAAGAAAAAATAAACAAAACAAGCTCTGCAGATGAGAACTTTTTTTTAAAAATGATAATAATAAAAAAAACTAAAAACAGCTCATGTGGATCAACCAAAGTATCCACTTTCATTGTGACCAGTGCCGCCATATGCAACACATTTTATTTTGTCATGTTATTGCCCTAACATGTGTCCACGCGGTCCCCACAGCCTATTTACCAAGGACATAAACTTAATGGCAGACTCATTTGCATTTGTTAATTTGGCTTGATATGTGCTAATTGATTCTTCTTACTTGTGTATTTTAATTATCGCAAGTTATAGTTGGCCACAGTTTGTGTACCAAATGTAAATTAGCAATGTTTGGTCATTAAATGCCCTCTGAGGAATGAGCATGCTTGCCTGGGAGTAATGAGTGTTAATTAGCTTGTGCAGCATAATTAACAGGTTTTATGTGCAACACTTACATTGTTTAGCGATGGGTTAACATGATGCTTAACTATTTTAAGAAAGCAAAAAGTAAAGCTGTTTGCAATAATGAACATTTATTCAGTTAAATTATTTGGAAATCAATATTGACTGTATTAAATCATATGGAGGGTATTAAATATATCTAAGCAAACACATTTGAAACATTTGAATACAACAGCAACATTACCAACGTATTCCTTTCTAATCCATATCAATCAATTTTGCGTCTTTTTTGAGGCGTCAAACCTTCGGATGACATAAATTCCTCGATTTTGGCAATTTGGGCCATTATGTCAGATTGTTTCCGTTCCTCTTTTTCTTCAGAACTAGATGCCATAGGCCAGGTTTGTTTCTCCAGGCTCAGGAGTTTGGGAGGAGGAACTGTAGGAGTGCAGTCTTGTCGCAGCCCATTACCCACAGAAGAAGAGACTGGACTGCCACTCGGAGATGAGCTGTAGGAGATAAGAACTTGATTCTCCTGCGGGAAAATAAAGTGGGTCATAAAAGTGCCATGACACTCTACCTTGATTTAATTCTTATGGACGTATTAACAGCAACGAAAAGTGAAATCCACCAAATTTGGTCTACTGCCATCATGTTAAGTCATACATTAAAGAAAAAAAAAAAAAAACAGGCACATTGAGTGTGTGCAGAATTACATAAATTAATTTAAATAGTTAAAAAAAACTGATGTTCTCACAAATAGTGTTTGCATGTGTATTTTATGGATTTCGTATTTTATTTCATCTCATGGAAAAAAACTCCACTTGTAAAAAAAAACAACATTAAAAAACATCTATTTTGATTGATTTCATTTGAGTAGTCCAGCATAAAACATAGTTGAAACCAGATAACCATGTTACTGAAAACAACAGACTGCAAAACGATCTCTGGTTTATTCTCTATTAGTATCTTAGCTCCCTTTGGAGTTGGGCTGCGTTTCTGTGATTTATACTCAGGACTTTTTTCCTGCTGTTTTCTATCAACATTTAATTGAGAAAAATGCTGCCATTTCACCCTGCTGAAATACTTCTGGGAATGGTTGTCTTTGGCGTTAACTCGCCTGTGTTTGTACACTTACTTTCTCCAGTAACATTTCCGAAAAAGACTGCTTGATTGCATTCCACTCTCCTTGACAGTCGTTCTTTTGGTGGGGACGATTGCTTGGAGTTTCCGATTTGCCAGGTGTCTTCATTACGGCTGTGAAAATAGGATTTGAATTTTACATTTACTGTGGTCAGATGTTGATTCTTATTATTGAACATACTCCATTAACATTACAAGACATGCCTCTTTTTGCCAATTTATCCTTCATAAAAAGGGGAGCACATAATGGAGAAAGCTCTTGAAATCCTGAGGACCACCGCTCAGTTTTTGAGGATGTTGGATGTGGCTTCTTTTTCCCTTTAATAAAAGTCTCCCATGCAAAGGATGACTGATATATACTATTTCCAGAATGGTTTGAAGTATCTCCCATTGAAATGCTCTTCTGGTCAACATCTGATTGGTCACTTTCTGTTGTAGACCCAGGAGAAGAAGGATCTTGGTCAGGGTTTGTGATCTTGACTTCTTCAGAAGAAACACCCAGTTCAATATGTTGCGCTTTCAATGGTTGTGAAAGAAAAGTCCCATCCTCTTTTTGAGCATTATTTTCTGATATGACCTCCACTGTGTCAACTGCAGTCACTGAAATTGTCTGATCAACAAGAGGCAACTGTTTGGTTTCCACTTCACTGACCACATTATAGAGGCTTGTTTCAGTTGAGTCATCAGCTTGGGAAACCCGGCTTTGCAAAGGTTCACAGAACAATTCAGGTGGTGAGAACTGATCTTTGGACTCATCAAGTTGTGTATCTAAAGATGTTGTGGCACTTGCACTATCAAAAGTGGGTTCAGGCTCCTCATAGACAGTTTTGTGGCATAGACTTGGCTGGGCGGCAATCAAATCCTCTGAACTTTCCGTTTTGTCGTAAAAGACAAATGTGTCTTGTGTATTTGAATTTGCAGTTTTTTCTTCTGAAAGTCTCTCTGCAGTTGTTTGACTTTCCTTTTGTGAAAAACTGTGGATAAATTCAGGTATGGCAGTCTGGTGGTCTTTGTATTCTTTAGACAGAGATTTAGCATATCCCTGGCTGTCCATGTGTTTATCTGATGTCTGGGATTCAGTCACTTCAGAAATACACAGATTCTGCTCCAGCGGTCTTTCTTTCGGTTCCAAAGCCAAAGGGTCGCCGTCTACGCCATAAACAGACCTGGTTTCAGGCCCTGATAGCTCAGCGAGATGACTGTCTGTGTCACTTTGGGCTGGGTTTGAGGGGTTTCCTTTATCAACTGTGTTGCAGACTGGCTCACTTTCACTGACACCCGTTTTTGTTTCATCCCGCAACTTTGACAGTTGACTCATCTTGAGATTAACTTCCTCAGGTCTTGAGATGTTATCAGACCCATCAGTTGAAACCGATGGCGAGAGCACAGGTACTATTCTATCCACCTGCATGAAAATATCAAGTTCCTTGTTGTTATCAGAGTGGCCATCCTTTCTATCCTTCTGAGACTCAATACTTTCATCTGTGTAAGGAAATTAAATGCATGCATCATTATGAAAGAAAAATGAGAAGTACATGTAAGCTTTCTTGATAAAGAGACTCCAGTAACCACCTCCCTGCACTTCACATCATTCTATATAAAACTATTCGTTATAGTGGCGCCAAGCTTGGTTGGAGAAGACAACTTTGCATTCTTTCTTACCTGGTATGTCTTTATCAGGGTGACTTGTTGGTTCACGGTTATCATGAGGACTAATAAGACTGTCCTCAAGATCTTTATGGAGACTGCTCACCTTCACAAGGTTAATCTCGTTAGATGTTGTACCAAGAGAATGTTCTTGATCTTTTAGGGCAATCTGTAATATAAGTTCATTCAGATTACAATTCAATCATTTAAAGATGCAGTCCGGCGGTTTTCCTCTTTGTCGCCATCTCTGTTCGAAATCTGCAATTGCAGTCATTCGAGGAATTATCAACTTTATGTGTGTTGTACTTCAACACCCTCGACACGGCACAGCGTGGATGAACACAATGTTTGAGGAGAGTGTGAGGCTGTCAGTCGCCGCGCCGGTGTGGATACTGGCATTCAGAATCACAGATTACTCTTTTTGGAAATTTTCACCGTAAAATGTCATCTGAACTAGTAAGAAACATCCACTTTTGATCTGGTTTTGACATTGCAGTAAATCGTGCTGATTAAATTTAACAATCGCTTATAAGTTTTCATATCATGCAAAACCCTGCAAATTTTACTTTGTTCTCAAATTGTTAATGTTAACAACGGCAAGCATCTCGTGACTACATATAATGTCCTTCCGATATGTTTTCGCATGGGTCCGGTTGCAGTATCTTTTTTTTCTGTCGTCACTCTGAAGTCCGAACAAACTCTTTTGCATTTTACAACTTTTTTTTTTTTTTTGACCAAAAAAAAAAAAGCTACGGACAGCAGCTTTAACACAAATATTGTTAAATGCCTCTTTAAAAATGGTGAGGTTCAAACCTATTTATCCATGTACAATACCTTATCTACATACTTATTAAATAAGCACTGGTTCTGAATTTATATGTAATCATCCCACCTCAGAGTTATGAAGGTCTTTGACCTCATGGACTGCAGAGATAGACAGCGCTTTGTGTTGTTCCTGGAGTTGATCATATGCCTGTTTTACCACTATCAGCTCTTCTTGATTTGCCTCCGTCGACATTTGCAATTGCAGAATCTGTGAGAACACCAATATTCCTTTTTTTTTTATTCCATTCCATTAAAAAAAGAAATGTATATTTACATTTAACAACAATTGGTTTTAAAAAAATCACAGTTCCAGCTCTTTCTTTGGCATAACAGTGATTTGTAGAACTTTCCATCACCTCTTTTTTCCAAATTAGTTCAGAATTTTGGTATTCATCTCTCAGACGAGCAATGGTGTTGTCTCTTTCTTTAGTCCTCTCTTGGTTCAATTCATGTTCTGTTTTAAGGATCTGCAATGAAATTAATCACCCAGAAAAAATGTAATGCAATAATAAATTTTTATGTGTTTATTTAACCTGGACAGAAAATTCTAAACAGATGGAGAGGCCAATACAAATCAGTTGGCTTTTGTCATGTTAATAATGGTTTTAATCAGTGAATGACTAAGTGAATTAAATAGAGGAATGGGGGAAAATAAAAGAGAAGGAGGCTGTAAACGGTCATTAAACACACTTACTATTATTGAGTTGCACTTTGTGTGTTGTAAATGTGCAAAAGTGATTTTCAGTTATCTCAATCAAGTTTATGAGTACTAGGTGACCATTGTTTACTTCTGCATAATTATACCTTATTAAGATTATCATTTTCAGATTAATCAAATTTTGCATTTTTATTTTGTGTATACTAGATGTGTTTATCTACTTTGATAATTAAAAAAAAGTAGTGTGTAAACAGATAGTACAAATAATTTATGTGTCTATGGGGGAAAAAATCTATAATTTGTACAAAATCTAAAAAATAGATTTTTGTGTTATTTAAGCTGAAGGTGATTTTGCAAGTGGGAAGCCTAACCTGATATTCCTCATGGAGTGTGCGGAGCTCCTGCTCTGCTCGGCTCAGAGCTTCTGTCTGTGTCTGCAGCAATCTCTGATTGTGCTGGAGGGATCTCAATACCTCCTGACACACACACACACACACACACACACACACATACAAATTTTATGGGGACTTTCCATAGACATAATGATTTTTATACTGTACAAACTGTATATTCTATCCCCTAACCCTACCCATCATAGAAAACTGACTGCATTTTTTTAATTTTCAAAAAACATAATTCTGTATGATTTATAAGCTGTTTTTCTCAAGTGGACCAACAATATCCCCACAACATTGTGTCCCCATAGCAGTAGAAAACTGACACAAAAAGGTCCAGATTTTTTTTCTGAGGAGCTCACCTGCTTCTCTGCCCTCTCTGTGGCGGTCTCATTTCTCAGTTTTTTGTTAAGTTCTGTTTCCTACAAAAAATATTACATTTAAAAACATCCTGGCATCATCTTTTGATATTAACAAATGTAAAGAGATTCTACCACAAAGAGTCTCTGCTGAAGTTGTTGAAACTCTTGTTCTTTTAGAACATTCTGTAAACGTTCCTCTCCAGGTCTGCAGACCGATGACACTTTGAATGTAACCAGCTCTTTGTTGAGTCTCTCCAAATCCTAAATGTAAAGTAAAAAGAGGCAACAATTTGTGATGCAGTGATGGAGCACTTCTCCTAACTTCAAAGCAAATCAATTTGCAAAGCAATGGTAGTTTCATCAGCAGAGAGAGAGATAAAAAAAAAGTTATTTTACCTCTTTTAAGGCTTTAATCGTTGATTCTTGTTTCTCATTGATGGATGTGAGTTTTTTATTAATTCGCATGGCCTCTTCAACTAAAAAAAAAAAGATTTAAAAACTTGGCGTTGCTACACAGGCTTTCATTTAGCATTCACCTACAAAGGCCAAATAAATAATGTTCAAAGAATGACAAATCAATTCACTGATGCAAAGCAAAGGAGTTTTTTTAACATCAAATCTGTCCAGAGTGAATGAAGGAAGATTATGAATACCAGAATACATACAAGCCCAATGTTTTTAGCAGTGACTATCATTGCGTTGCATAAACAGCGATAATAGAGTTTGAAGGCAGAATATAATCAGGTTTAAACCCTGACTCAACATAAACTGAAGTTTCATTTTAATTAAATGTTTCACTAGGACGATGTTTGTCCGTTTGAACAGTCATACCATTTTGTTCAAGTTTCTCATGGGCATGTTTGACCATGGCACACTGTCTGGACAGGGTGGCGAAACGCCTCTCCACCTCTCCCAACTGATTCAGGTGGCTGTCTTTGGTTTGTGTCTGCAGCTGCAACTTTTGCTCCTGTAAAGTTTAAAAACACATTGTCCTCCCTTCGAAGAGGAATATCCCCATTCGCCTGTACAAGTAATAACAGTTCTTCTTCTCGGCAAGGGCAGACCATGAATATATACTGCATCGGAGAGTTTGAAGACCTTTGTTTAACATCTCGGCTGAGTGCTCCTTTCTGCTAGATAAGGAGTCAACTTCCAAACATGCCTGAGGGACTTTTATGCGAAGAGCAGCCCGTTACTGTTTGATTGTCTGTATCAAACTGATTCCCCTCTCCGCCATTGAAAGGTTAAACAGAGCGAGGCTCTGATATAAAATATTTTAATAGTGGTATTTTCACAGCGGCGCTGGCGGTTCACGTGTCACGCCCTCCCTATCCGTTACTTCTGACGATCCGCTCTCCCTCTCAGTTCCTCCTCTTTAATTCTTCCCACTCCCACTTGCCTCAGTCAACAATTTATATAATTGGAAATCCTTACCAGCTCGCTTAATTTCTTCTCCAAACTGTACCTGAGCAACTGCAAGACAGTAGTAAAAGAAAGTGGTTTGAGTGTTTTTTTTTTTGTTGTCATTTTATTATTAATTTAACACTATATTAAATCATATGAATAAAAATAAAAGGAAAAGGCACATTATTAAGAGCAAAGACTAGAATAATCTAGAATAACCTGGGGCGAGTTGCATAAACTGCTAAGACTAGTCTTACAAGTTAGTCATCCAATTTTTTTTCTTCAAGACTATTTATAACTTTTTTTTAAGTTAGGACATAAAAACGTACATTGGTCTAATTTCATACCGAACTTATGATACCATAGTTCTTAAGACACTGTCTTAACATAATGGCTATGTTTATGCAACTGGCCCCTGTTGTTTACCTTTAATATTATTAGTATAAAATTATACTACTTATGTTGCTTTTTACCTGTTAATAATTTAAAGTCCCCCTGTAGTCAATAAATTAATCCCTTAAAAATCATCTTTGATCACAAAAAATACAAATTTAAAAGTTTCATGACTTAAAATTGGTTGAATGTAACTCTACACCCCTGCCTCATTTAGTATACATGGATCTATAAATATGCAAATTAGCCCCGCCTCCACTCACAGTAATTGAGAATGACGTGATAGGTTACAAGATAGTTTGTGATGTCAGAAACATCAGCGATTTCAAACCGTGTTTTTGAGACTGTTTTTGGTTCACCGCAGTTTTATGTTGACTTGCACATGGTTTGTCTTAATGCACATTAAAAACACCACATCACATAAACAACATTAAAAGCTTGATTTTCACCACAGGGGGACTTTAACCACATCCATAATTCTGTAAATCATGTCTTAGACAAGTGATGCAGTGTTCAAGAATACATCACAATAATTGCTGTGTTTATATACAAATCAAATTGCTCAGATTACCATTACCAAATAAAACGGTAACAAGGGCCTTTATTGGCTAATCGTACGGTTGAACCGAGGGTGTGATGAACCGTAGGAGAAAGCATACATCACCCATGTGACATCATTTATCTCACGACAACACCAAACAGACCTACACAGACCCCCACTCAAAAGGTCAGCGATGAGATGGATTTTCCCACTGTTTTAGATATATGTCTCTAAAGCAAGGTACAGAAAATCGTGTCATGTGTTGTTATTGCATTGATTATGTGTACCTGCAGCAGTTTTAGTTCTTCCTTGAGGCTGATGATCTCTTTGTCTTTCAGTTCAGCAGCCAGCTGGTTTTTACCCTTAAAGAGGTCATTCATATATTTAGTCAAGTGACGATTCATTTATTTTAATTAAGTATTTTTAAACTTTTTTTATTAGTTACTGTTAAAGAAGAAATACAAATATTGATAAGAACACAAACCAGAGCACAGATTGAAATAGTATATGTAATATAAAGACACTAACCTTTTCTCCCTCAATTCTTTGGATTTGGGCCTGAAACTTTAAATTAGACAAAATAATTTCTATTTTTGTGTGTATATAAAATCTTGCATACATAGATTGAGTGTGATATCATACCTGTTTTTTTACAGCAGCAAGTGATTCTGAATTTTCAGTTGACATTTTAGAATTCTGACTCTGTAAGTTCTCCTGCAAAAATATAAGAATAAACCATTAATATGGACATAAACTTTAACAATATAAAAAGTTTTGTTTCTACAAAAGCTCAGCCAGTTCCTAAAAATGTTTAACAGTGGAATCTTGGGAAAAACAACAGTATTTTTTATCATTCCTAACAAACCTTTTGCCATTCTAACTCCTGTTTCTCCAGCACAAGTTTACAAATCTGCTTCTCGTATCTTGTTTCAGCATCCTGTATCCAAAATGTCGACAAAACACCATTTTATTCATCATCAATAATTAATAAATTCACAAGAAAGGAATAGATTACATTATGCGGAGGTATCTGAACATAAAAGAGGACATTTTATAAAGACATCATTGTCATCCAGTACAGCAGGTTTCGGTCAATGGTTTTCAACATAGTGGCTTTTATGTGCGTGTAGGAGTTTATTCACATTTTCCTAATAAAGTGTGCTACTTGCAAAGCTGTTAACGTTTCGTAGACGGACAATAAATTGAATAAATGGGGTTTGCAGGTAAAAAACAAAAAAGAGCACTAAAATTGGTGAGTCATATTAAGCTTTCAGGACAGAGACTGATCACATATGTGATTAGATGCATTAAATCTAATAAAACAATGAGAGAGAAAAAGCATGTGTAATGCATCAGGACAATTCGCTTTCAGCATCTGAATGAATTTCCTGTGTCTGGCAAAACGACTGACAACATCCCAAGCTAATACAGTCATTTTAATGGAACACACTTTGCACTCTCTTAAAAGAACACACGAAGTGACTGCGTTCAGCTGAGCGCGTTTGTCTGGCAGGAAATCCTCCATCTTAACCCCGGCCCTATAAACCAGAGAACTACAAAGTGTTAGTTTAATGGCATGCCTGAGGATCACATTGATTTAATGCCTTTGTTCCTCACCAACATCATAATAACAGTAAAACATGAGAGATACAATTGTTTATTTTTGCTCGTACAACCTTTAAACATGTCCAGCGTCGGAATTTAAGTGCTTGCTCGAGGGTACCAGCCATGCAGGCAAATATGTGAATTTGTCAGGTCCTGCTGCATGACCCCAATCTAATGTAAGTGTAACTTCTGCTGGCTTATGTCCAGATGGACAGAAAGTGCTGCTTGTTTTAAGTTCTTCTGAACGCTCATGGCACTCCTCCTCACACAAAATTACATTCCTCAGTTCCTCACCAGAACCTTGATGTCATTGGGATACTAAATAGGCTGACAGTCCTAATACACTGAGATGTCATTTAGCAGCCTTTTAGAGGGCTGATATTTGTTTGAGATTGCACAAGCTCAATAAGTATGTGCACATCTTAGGTTCAGACTATTACGAACATTTCTCAGCCAAGAGAAAGATTTGTACGCAAATTATGTTACGTGATTAGTTCCTACCTGATCTGACGCTTACAAAATTACCCAGTGTAGTTAGGTTAATTCAGTCATTTTAAATATTATTCAAATATATTATTTAATCGCTTTCTATCATAGTTTTGTAAATGTTTAAAAAAAAAAACAAAGAAGAAAATAGGTATTAATATTATAAGTAAAGATAAATAAGATAAATACCAACTAACTAAATAAATATATAGGGTGGGAAGTGGTGAGGGCCAATCAAAGGCAACACTGAGGTTTTATTATTTTTGTCTTTATCTCTTTAGGTAATCAAATAGAAGAATTGTCTTTAATTACTGCGCCTAGCAGGGTAACGTTAATACAACAAATTAAACCTTTAAAAAAAAACAATCCAATAAACATCATTGTTACCTCTAACCTTGCAGCCCTAACTTTGTTTTCTCTGGCAAAACTGCTAGTTGAAGGGTCCAATTCTCACTATTAAATAGTTGCATATTAGCATGCATATTACTATGATATTGGCTGTCATACTTACAAAGCACATATTAATCTGTGGTCTTATTCTGCATAATCATATTCTATATTTTTTAATCCTACTCAATACCTCAACACTTAACTATTAATAAGCAGTAATTATGATTTTATTGAAGCAAAAGTCATAGTTAATAGTGAGAATTGGACCCTAAACTAAAGTGTGACCACACATTTTATATAATCAGAAAACAGAGGTGAAAGTAAGACACCATACCCTGTGAATATACAACTCCTCAACCGCCTCCAGGAGACTTGTTTTAAATTCCAGTACTTGCACTGAGATGGTACGGCCATCATTCTCTACGGCAATGTTTGGGGTCTTCAGTTGACCGAGAGCACCTTCATCTTCCATCTACAGGAAAAAACAGCATGAGTGTGTGTAAATCTTGGAGCTTTATTTGTGTATAATTTAAAACACATCTTCCTGCTTTGGAATATTTCCACTTACCAAGGAGAAAAGCTCTGTTCCGGACTCTACGCTCAACTCCATTGCACTTGGAAAAAAGACTTTAAGCACCTAAACAGAACCTACAGATCAAATTTAGCTTTTTAAAACGGTAACAATATGATTAAAAATGATCAGAATAAACTTTCGTCTGCCAAATAATACAGTATTTTAGCTCAAATGTAGACTGTTTGTTGTTGGGAATCAACTGCATGACTCTTAAGAGAATTTAGAGCTGGAACTATTGGTTTTATAGTGTGGCATATGACAAAAATAACTGCCACTATACATAAATTTTGCCTCATAAGAATATAAAAAGCGCTGCTGTAGACAAAGTTCATGCCGTTGCGTCAAAATAAGCTTTTTAAATCCCATCTCGAACCTATCAAGGTGAAAATGGCGCCATGGTAAGAGTGTAGGCTAATAGGGGTCAGGGCCATAACACCGGATGGACAGATGGCTCTGTCATTCAGAAGGAATTATAAAAGATATTTAATTTGATCTGTGCTTGGTCCACTGTATCGCCATCATCATGACTGACTTGGAAAGTGGGAGGGCTTCATTCTGCCTGGTGTTTTAATAGAAGAAAAGCTTTCGTCCATTTAGTCGCCGCTGATATATCAATCATGTGCAGGAATTAAATGATCCCGTTCGAATTTGCTACTATCACAAATGACCTGGAGGGCCAATGCCTTTATTCGCTTGCTCCGCTGATTCACCTCAGCAGATATTAAACAACTTTATAAGCCATGAAAGGCAAAATTAAAAGGACACCATCCATAAAATGGGATAATTCTCTGTCTGCGGTGTGATGTCCATATTACTGTTTGTAAACTGACTAGCATAACCACTGATCTGTAAATGTGAATGACAGCGGTCGGGACTTCAGGTGAAAATCTGCAACGGTCAGATTTAACCTTTGACCTCAGCTGATCAAGTTTACAAGAGAGAAATCTGGATTTAATGTCTGAGAAGACTTTTAACCCTAGAATAACATTGTTCTGAGTTATTAAACAATTCTGCCATGGTAAACAAGAAATAATCATGGTTAGCCTAGTTTTGGGAAAATGCATTTTAATTTATTATAGTAAATTGAAATAGATCTACTTCAAATTCATAGTGTAAGCAGCTTTTCATGATTTTTGAGTCATGTTATTAAGAGTATTCATATTTTTTTTTTTTATAAATTACATTTTAATTTCGACCGTGGTAATAACTAAGCATTTTACCTTAACCTATTTTAATTAACGTTATATTTTTATAGGCTGAAAATAGCATAAATAGCAAAATAGCAATTTGTGCACTATACAAATGTTTTAGTAAGCTAAGCTAAACTATCACAAGATGTATTTATTAGTTATTTCTCCTCATAAGTGACTAAACAGTTATTGAGAAGAGTTGCAGATAGTTAAAGAATATAAATGGATGCTTATTAAGCATACTAAGAATAATTTTGAAGAAAAAAATAATACTTTAAACAAACCTCGGCGACTCCGTCTGTTGTAGCCGCACTGACTGGATTTGATGTGGTTGAGGTTTAGTCAAGACTCAAGGATAGATATATCTTACAAAAGAATAATAAGTTACATCAGTCGATTTCTGCACACTTTTCTCTCAAACATCATCAAAAAAAATGTTTAACAGCCAATAATGCGCATCTATTACTCATTTTTAATGTTTTTAATGTTTTAAATCACGTCACCCTACCTGTGTCATCATCAGTTCAGGCGGCAAAAGAAAAGTCGCCTTTGCTGCCACCTAGTGTACAGTGTGTGACGACAGGAGAAAGCTCTGCCCACTGTATCTCACAAGAACTGTTCATTCTTTTCTACATGTCCCGTTGACTTGTACATACCACTTTTATGGCATAATAAAAAAAAATAAAAAAAACGAAATATAGCAAAATATTCGACCAGGGCCCAGTATTTAATTTGTTTATTTGTAATATACAAATATCTTAATTTGAGTTGGATTTAATGTAGACTTACGAGAAGAAAGCTAAAATGCATTTTATTCATTTTTAATCAGAATCGTGATTTATATCCTTCGATATAAAATTAAAATTAACTATTTTTTATACAATCCTCCCTGTTCGAAGCACATGCGCTAGGGGGCGGCCGAAGTTTTTGTTACTAGTGGGAAATGTAGTTCTATGTTACATTTACACAGCTTCATTCCCATTCAAAATCACATCTCAAAAACTACAAAGGAACCTTCTGAATCCTACTTCCGTAAATACACGCATCAGGTTGTATTGATTCATCCAGACGAAAACGCTTGGGCTGCTACTTTTATTATACGTGGCGAATTGCAGCTTTGTAAAAATAAAGTTTAAGCGGGCGCTAAGTGCTTTAACGAACCCAGGTAACGTAAACTGTAAAATAGAAATCTGAATGACAAATGACCGGATGTTAGAGCGCAGACAGATGCGACATTGCATCTCAGAGATTTTAGTACTGGTTTCAGGCTGTTTTTGTGTCACAGCGCAGTAAACCAAAGCGAGTTTATAGAAATGGTAGAAAAATATTTGAATGTGACTAGTAGAGAGATGAGGGTACTAGAGAGCAATTGTTTATTGATTTGAAAGGCATTCTAGTCTTTTCCTTCTGTTTTATAATAAAAACAAAACAACTACACACTCAGCTCGCTGTCACACTGTTGCCAGAAAAAAAAAACAGTGTTGTCATTGGATAGAGCAGCTGATGTTATAGTCTATGTAAAGATCATTTTAATTTATCAGCTTCTTTTTTTTCAGCAGAAGATGCCAAAGGAATCTGATGAGTCCTCCAAAGAGGAGCAGAGCAAGATTAACGTGGATGGGAAAGAGAACACTGTGGAACCATCAGAAGAGATGATCCGGAAGAGGATCCGAAGAAATACTCCCAGTCCTCACAGACTCACCCCCCAGTGTAAGGAGAGAAATGTTTATTAACTTAAAATGTGTCAAATCACCATTTAACAATGTTAATATTGCATTCGAACACTCACAGCCAGTCCACCCAGATTTGTCTCAGTGGAAGAGCTTATGGAGACAGCCAAAGGAGTCACTAATCTGGCACTGGCCCATGAGATAGTGATGAACAGTGCTTTCCAAGTCAAGCCTTATGAGCCAGAAGAGGGAAGGTAATGGACTTGTTATCATAACATCACAGTGTTCTCCATGTGATAATGATATTTTGAAATGCTAGCACTTTCAGTCATTATCATTACAGTGCAATTATTCTAAAGGGATACATATTGCAGTTCAATATTCACATTACTTTGATTTGAGAATGTTTTTGAGAGTGTTTTTTTTTTTTTTCACATTTTGAACGTATCATTCCTGTATACTCAGTTTGGAGAAACAGGTCAAGGAAATTATGCATAAAGCATTCTGGGATTGCCTTGAGTCACAGCTGAAAGAGGACCCACCATCTTACAGTCATGCTGTCACACTGGTTGGTGAAATTAAAGAGGTAAGGAAAGAATCCAGGCTTACATATTATGATATAGTACATGAGATATATATAAATATATATATGTATATATATATATATATATATATATATATATATATATATATATATGTATATATATGTATATATACATATATATATGTATATATATATATATGTATATACATATATATACATATATATACACATCACTGGTCACGATCTACTGAAGTTCAAACTGAGCATCAGAATGGGGAAGAAAGTTGATTTAAGTTACTTTAAATGTTGCATGGCTGTTGGTGCCAGACGTGCTGGTCTGAGTGTTTCAGAAACTGATGATCTACTTGGATTTACAGAGAATGGTCTGAAAAAGAGAAAATATGCAGTGAGTAGTAGTTCTGTGAACCAAAATGCCTTGTTGATGCCACTCAAATAACTCAAAGTAACTAAAATATCAACTCATTCACAACACAACACATCGAACCTTGAAGCAGAAGGAGTACAGCAGCAGAAGACACACCGGTGTCACTCCTGTCCGATAAGAACAGGAAACTGAGGATACGATTCGCTCAGGCTTAAAAAAAAATTGGACAATAGAAACTTTTAGACAATCTAAAGCATTACAGAAAGTTTCCATCTTTTTTATTAATTGTGTTTGAGTCCCTTGATTGTTCTCAATGTGAAAAGGATCTCAAAATCCCACAGTCACTGCTGGAAAGGGTTCAAACATGCAACAAAAGATGCTGGAGAACCAAAGAATTTTGCTGAAGAACATTGGCCAGTTTAACTGCTCAGGACAAACAAGGAAGGAATTCATGAACCACCATCACAAAACAAAAAACAGTCGTGGATCATCCAGGTAACGACACAGTATTAAGAATCAAGCGTATGTAAACTTTTGAACTGGGCCATTTTTTTATAAATTCACCTCTTGTGGATTATATTTAAACATATTTTATGTAAAATATCTTATTTCAGACAGTATTAAATAAAAAAAAATAACATACATTTTGTATGATCCCTCTTATTTTGTAAAATGTATTAACATTTTTCAAATTCTGCAAGGTGTGTGTAAACTTTTGACCATGACTGTGTACATCTCAGACTGATGTTTCTGCCGTTGGGTACTCAATACTCAGTATTAATACAAAAAACTTTTTCAAGAGTACAGTCTTTTTCTCTGTGCTATGGTGCGAATCGATGAATTATACTCAAATGTTTGCAGAGGAAAACTGACAGACTGCAAATATATTACCAACCATTGTATACTTTCTCAACATATCTGTGAACATTACTCAACAAAAATTAATGTTTGAAGGTGTTCATTAGTTCCCTGTCTCCCTGTTTTTCCAGACCCTGCTGTCTTTTCTGTTGCCAGGACAGAGCCGACTGAGAGGGCAAATTGAAGAGACTCTGGACCTCGCATTGATCCAGCAGGAGGCTGAAAACGAAGCTCTTGATATCAGTAAAGTAGCCCGGTTTATAATTGACATGATGGGCACCTTTTGCGCACCCTGCCGTGATGAAGACATCAGACAGCTGCGGCAAATCCCTGACATCGTGCCACTTTTTAAGTAAGTCACTTAAACAGATCAAAGATGAAGGTCACATGACTCCAAATCATATAATCATTTTTATTTGGAAACATCTTCAGGGCAATATTTGCAGTGCTAGACAAAATGAAGATCGACATGGCCAACTTTGCTGTGAGCAGCCTGCGACCTCACCTCTTGCAGCAGTCGGTGGAATACGAGCGGAAGAAATTTCACGAGTTCCTTGAAAAACAACCCAGTAAGGAAATTCAATTACTTGAATGATATACCGTACATATTCAATGAATGTTATGCTATGCATGCATAACATTGGATTAAAAAAAAACGTAGGTAAGCTGACGTCTTTAATTCAGTTATGTATTCATGTTTGCAGATGCTTTGGATTTCACGAAGAAGTGGCTCCAAGACACGTCAGATTGTTCAACCGGTGGAGAAACGGAGGGTGGAGCAACATCTACAACAGTTTCTACTCAACTCCACAATCTTGCCTATTTACGCCTGTTAAAATGGGACCATGATGCAGAGTCTTTCCCAGAGGTAATGTGTCATTGGAGATCACTGATAGTATTTGGATCATACAACTGTCCTGATATCATAAAGGAGAATTGTAATAATTCATAATATTTATACAAAAATGATTTTAAGCTCGCAAAATACATACTTTTCAAAAGTTTGGGGGCTTTTTTTTCTTTTTTTTGTTTGAAAGATATTAAATACTCATATTCAGCAAGGATGTTTTAAATTGATGCAATAAGGTAATGACAATAACGACAAAGTTATGTTACAAAATATTTCTAATTAACAAATAAATGCTGTTTTTTTTGCTTTCTATTTATCAAAGAATCGTAAAAAAATCATGTTTTCAATATTGATTATAATAAGATGTTTATTGAGCAGCAAATTATATTAGAATGATTTCTGAAAGATCATGTGACAGTGAAGACTGGAGTAATGATGCTGAAAATTGCCATCAAAGGAATAAATTACATTTTATATTGTATTAAAATAAAAATAGTTATTTTAATTTGCAATAATATTTCACAGTGTTACTGTTTTTACTTCATTTTTGATCAAATAATTTGTAGCCTTGATGAGCATAAGAGACAAACAAATTCACAAATCCCAAACTTTTGAACATATATATATATATATATATATATATATATATATATTTATATATTTATAAATATAAAATATATAATATATATATATTTAATATATTGTATATATGTATATATTTAATATATATATATATATATATATATATATATATATTTAATATATATATATATTGCAAATATTTAAAATGTGTACTTTCGCAAGCATTCAGTATGTATGGAAATGTATTTTTACACCACATTTCAGGGTCATGAAATGTAAACGTTTGTTACTAATGTTTTTACAAAATGATATGAAACCGACACATAAAACACAAAATATAGATGTTTAAGAACTTGGCACATGTGTTTTAAACATTATGCACACTATTGAAACCAAAACTTGCTGTTCTTTTCCTCCCTCCTGCCACCAAACAGACTCTTCTCTTGGATCAGTGCAGATTTCAGGAGATGCAACAGCAGCTGGAGCAGCTGGCACTAGTGGCATCAATCCTGCTCATAGTGTATAACAGTGCTGGGGAGGCCATTTCTGGACTCCCGGGACTCAATGAAAGACTGAAGAAAACTATTAAGATTCTGTTAGCAGAAATGCACACGCCGTAAGTTTGAGGTTGGCATGGAAGTGGAAGTTGCAATAGTCTTTTCTTCCCTATTGTGACGTGTATGTCCAAGTGAAACTGCTCCTCACACAAGGAAAATATAGGACGGGACCTGATTTTGTTAATCTGGAATTTTTCGGATAGTAGTTTGCTATTGCTGTGATGTCATGTGTCATCAGAGAAGAAAAGTCGTTATTTTGGCTAAAGATTATGACGGCACATGAATTTTAAAATAATAATGTGCACTTATAAATCATTTATAATTAGGGCTGGGTACCGAGTTCGGTACTTTTTAGGTACCGACTGAATTACCTCGGTACTACAGAGTATTGAAACATGTTTTGTTTTTCAGTACCAAATTTCGGTACCTAAGTGATTAATCTCATCAACGTCAGTGAAACAATAAGCATGCAGCATGATTGACTGTGGCGGAAAACACTAGTTTATGCGGCTGCTCAGAGACGTAGCTCATCTCAAAGTCAAGGTATCGGTATCGGTATCGAACATCTTGTTACGATACCCAGCCCTATTTATAACGCTGCGATACTCCATAAAAAAACAAGAATTGATGACTTAAAAGAATTCTATTCCAGTGCAATATTAATGCTACACACTTAAGCAAAACTGTTGTATTTTCCTCTCTTAGGTCCTTCAAAGCAGATGAAACCTTCGCTGCTGTTGCAGAGAAATTGTGTTTAGAGCTCAGAGGATGCTTGTCTCAGCATGGCTTTTCCCCATTTCCCTCAGACAGAGAGAACACATTGAAAGGCCAAATTGCAGCAGCAAAGTCTGCGGACAACCCCATCCGCAAGGTCATTGGTAAGCGCAGCCCTCTATGGAGAACTTGTGCTTTGACAACCCAAAAAGCAGTTATTATTCCATTTAGAAGTGAAGTCTTATCTAAAACTGTATTTTTTTTTCTATTAGACTCCCGGATCCAGGCGTACCTTCTTGGCTTCCTGGAGTCAAGCGCCCACCGGAGCGCCCCAGCTCTCCCCGGAGGTCTGACGCCCATCAGCAAAGAGTTAGAGGAGATTGCCGTCAAACTGGAACGTTTGGTGACCTTCAATAAGCTAGTTTACTCTCCGTTCTATCAGAAGATCCTCCAAGACATTCTGAAACAAAGGGAAGGTTTAGATGTGTGAACAAAACACATGAAATACTTGGCACTAGTCATCCCGGCTTTCACATTTTGTAGCTAAATATACGGATTATAGCGTCTATAAACTTGCTAATTTACCCCTCAAAGCTCACATGCTAGCACTTATGGATATTTAAGAATTAACACTCCTAAGGTCCTCTCATTGCATTGCGTTGTATATCAGGGAATATTTGTGAATGTATCAAGGTTTTTGATTTGCCTAAAGCTTGGATGACTGATAGAATAGTGAACTGTAATGTAAGAGAGGAGAACCTTGTGAATGCTGTTAGTGTGCAACAAAATATTTAAAAAAAAACCACAGTTTTCAAACATTTGCTGTAGTTAGCCCGAACCTTTCGGCAAAGGTGTTATTGAGGTTTCTGGCTTGTTTTGGATGAATCTGAGGTAAAGGATGTGTATTTGACTGGTGCCTTAGTTTGTGAAGTGCCACCCATGTTTATGTGCACATTTTTCTCTTTAATGCTCATTTTAATCTTCATATTATCCCCATAGACCTTATTCAGAGCAGCGCCATGACAGGTATGAAAGTGAGGCTGTGAGGGGTAGACTTACCGTGTTTCCAATGGCATCCGCTGTAAAAAGCTGAATAAAGCTCCTAGATTACTTACAATTTTCCATAGCTTACATTGTCGGGAGTTTTTTGTCAACTGAAATTTCTTGGAAAGATATTTTTTCCAGTGTTTCATGAGCAGAACAATCCGAAAACGCGTTAAATAACAGTACATCCCATTGAAGAGATGCATGACTATCCCTCACAGCCTCGCTTTCATTCTCATTAAAAATCAAAGATGGCGCTGCCGTGAATAAGGCGTATGTTGTTCCGACAGTCGTGAGAGCATGTTCTTTTTAAATAATTCCTGATTTAGTTAAAGAACAGTGGGTAACGCTTTACTTGAAGGGGTGTGCATAAGACTGACATGAGACATTCATTACATGACGTGATGTATGTCTTGAATATGAAGTAAGGTTGATGCATGCAACTGATTTTCTCTCAATAATCACATTTTGAATGTAAATATGAGATTGTTAAAGATGTCTTTGTTATGCCATCTTGACATAAACCATAACATCATAACCTGTCAGTGTCTTTGTCATGTCAACTTGACATAAAATGAAGTTAAACTGTCATGTGGTTGGCTTTGACATTGGCTGTCATGAGGCCATTATACAGTAACTGTGTCATGAATATTTTTCGTGACCTCAAATGCAGTTTTACTAAATGAATTCGTCATTAAAATGTTATAATGGATGGCTTCATGACAGCCAATGTCAAAACCAACCACCTGATAGTTTCATGTAATGTTAACCAATAAAGCTTGGTGGTTTCTTAAGTTTGATAATTAATCTGCTGCTATGTCATGTTTATGACAGGTTGTGTTGTCTTAGTTAGACAGGTTATGATGTATTGGTTTGTCAAGGTGTCATAATTTGCATTAAAAATGTCATAACTGAGCAAATGACACTTAATGACAGTTGTCACAAACATGCATAAAACTTCATGTGTGTGATTATGAAGGTGTCATGTTAGTCTTATGCACACCCCTTCAAGTAAAGTGTTACAGAACAATGTTTTTATCAACATTGAGCATGTTTTACACCTTGTCCTCACAAGTAAATGTATTCCCCAATGCACTTCTCTATGTTCTACTTTCATAAACTTCTATTGCGTGTCTTATTAATGCAGTATTACTAATGGTTATTTGAAACTGAATGCTGGCTGTCAATAAAAACACGAGGTGTGTAGAAAACGTTGCTGACTGGATTTACTGTTTTTTTTATTCTACCATGTATCTAATTCACATGGCTTTATGTATTGTATTATATAATTCCTCTAAAGAATTTGATCAACTTTTCCATTTTTATAAATACATTATATAAATACATATCTGCATGGGAGGGGGTGAAATCCATGATGGGGATGCATTCTAAAAAATGTTATATTTCAGTTTGCCTACAGGTCAGGCAGGGGTGTTGATGATGCCATATGTACCCTATTAAACATGATTTTGGCACACCTTGAGGGCACAAAAACATTAGTATGTTTAGCTTTCATTGATTTTTTTAATTGTAACCTTATATCCTAGCAGAAAGGTTAAAAAGTTTTTCATAATACTGATTTATTGGCTGATGGGTTTTTTTAACCAATAGGTCTCAACGTGTGAAGGTAAATGTGTTTTATCTGATGTACTTTTTTCTTCAACTTGGTCACTGCAAGGATGTGTTCTTTCACATTCTTAATAATGAGGATCCTGATCCTGTATTGGCAAATTTTACTGATTGGTGTAAATTGTCCCTTTTGGATATCAATGTATTTAAAACTAGAGATGATAGTAGATTTTAGGTAGAATCGTAAAGCCATCTCTCCTGTGGCTAGGGGATAGTTCACTTTGAAACTAATTTTTGGTATGTTTTAGCTTACTTCTAGGGCATCCAAGATTTAGGTGTCTTTGTTTCCACAGTATTTTCCATTTTTTATATATTTTTTAGTTCAAACCATTCGTGTCTGTCAGTCATATAATGCAAGTCTATGGTCGCCACCTCAAAGAGCATGCACAGAGAAGTCCAAATTAAACATGATTTAATGACTCATGAATGTAAGTACACATTGATGGCCTAAGACACGAAACGAGCGGTTTGTGTGAAAAAACGATCAGTATTTATATTGTTTTTACCTCTTGTTACCACAGCCACAAAGCGCCTGTGCCCTCAGATCACTTGGGCGTGGCTGTGGTTATCAGCAAGGCATTAAGGGTTCTCAACAAGGCATTTTCGCCCACAGGACTGCCGCATACTGGATGTTTTTCCCTTTTCACACCATTTTTGGTAAACCCTAGAAATGGTTGTGTGTTAAAATCCCAGTAACTGTGCAGATTGTGAAATACTCAGACCGGCCCGTCTGGCACCAATAACCAATAACTTTGGATTTCAGGAGATTGTCTTGACCAGGACCACACCCCTAAATGCGTTGAAGCAACTGCCATGTGATTGGTTGATTAGATATTTGCTATAATGTTTATTTAACATTTTTGTTTTATCTATATATTGTATTTACATTACAAGGTTTATTGTTACATTGTTTTATTGTATAATATATTATGTTTATATCATCAATTAGTATTGTAATATTAGATTACCTTTTAGTAGTTTTAAGTTAAATTGAATGTTTTCATTCTGGAAATACACTGTCTAAGATATAATTTATCAAAACAATTAATGTATATAAAATATGTGAATTATTTGCATGTTTCTGTATTATACCTTATTTGATTATACTGCACAAATGTTTAACAGTTACATTTTAGAAGATCTTTCAGATCCCACCAGACGGGGTCACTATGTAGCAGACCCGTGTCCTCCTTTCCCACTTCCGTGGGCGTTTCATGTTGTGGTTGTGTATTTGTGTGTGTTGACTCTCCAGCCCTGTCCATGGCAGTAATGCTTCACACCAGTTATGAATCACCTCACCGACACGCTCAGGAAGAAGCAGCGCGAGAGTGTTCTCGAGCGCTCAGCTGAGAGAGCTCGAGCGAGTTGAGCTGACAGAGTTTGTCCGTCGCCGTCAGGAGGAAATAAACCAGGAGGGCTTAAACGTCCTCGACATGACGACAAAAACCTCCCCTGACCGAAACGGATATCCTTAACTATACGCTGGACCCTGCTCGGTTCCCGTGGATGGCTTAGTATTCGAGTTGTGCGCAGTTGAAATGAGGGAGCTTGTATTTTTTTCTCCCTCGTCGTCCAGCGAGAGGACAAGATGGCAGCGCGAGCGCGTCGAGCATGCAGTGGGTGCGAATTAAACCCCAACATGTTCACTAAAGACTCGCGTTTCTACCACAGCTGCTGTCTGTGAAGGTAAGGAAGATTTTAACGAGTTGTAAAGGCGTAAATGCGTGTTTGATACTTAATGGTGCAGATATTAAATCAGGCTTGACTTCGGAGGAGTGATCGCGAGCTCGTAGTTGTTGCGAAAAAGTTGACACGCCACGCCAAAAACTTGATAGCAATGTTTCGCAAGGTTTGCTAATGTGTTTTGGAATCTGACAAGGTTCTGGTTTTAATAAAAAAACTAACTTTTTATTGTTTGCCTGATAACTTTTAAACGTTAAATGTTCGCGAAGACTTTCTGGTCACCAGCCAAACCCATAATATTTAACTTTCCTAAATCCTGCTGCTTAAAACCATGACGTAAAGATTTTAATTTGCTGTATTAAACCTTCAAACATTAAACATTCAAGCGTCAATGCATATGAATTGTGGGTTAGTTTTGCTTATAAACTAGTCAGCTGTTGATCTTGTACTATAATCTAGTGACATGTTGCTCAACCCTCCCAAAATGCACAGGCCTGGTAATCTTTTATTTGCTGACTTCTCTTTTATTTTCTGTAAATTGACACTATGCTGGTAAGATTAAGCAAAAGTTGTACCTAAAGATATATATATTTTATGTAAAAGTTGAATTTCCTGTCCTTGAAAGATAATCCACCATGCATTTCCTATTTTCTCAGTAATACTTAAAAAAAGATATTTAACCTTTACAATGCTTATTTAATGTACTTTTTTTGTTTTTGAAAACAAAGAAATATAGGGGAATTGTAAAAAGTGAGCTGTATGTTAGTGAACGTAATCACCTGGAACATTTTTTTATTCTAGTGCACAAGTATATATTTTATTTTTATACTTTTTTATACTTTGTTTTATAGTGTCCTACACAACACATTACATCTAGTTACTATAGTAATAACAACAACAACAACAACTATAAATCATGCTTAATTACATGCAACCCTACAACAAACCTAATCCTAACCACAACCCCATGGTAAGTACATGTATTTAATTAATATCACTCAATACTTAAATATGTAATTACACAATATTAAGGACACCTTAAAATAAAGTGTAACCCTTTTTTTATTTATAAATGACTAAGAATGATCAAGTATGGTATAAATTACTATAAATTAATTTCCTTATTCCTTATACAAACACACAGAACATTAATGGTTTTGCAATAAAAACGTTGTTGCATTTTATTAAATGTGCATTACAATATTATGAAGTCGGAAGTCATTTTATGTCATAGATTATAAATTCCTCATTGTTTTTACTATCACTATACATCACTGATCTTTTCCTGTCATTAAATGTTTATAGCCAGGGCAGTTGCAGAATCAACAGGTGTTGTCCTTGTGCCATCTCTCGCCCACCCCCATTAGGTCTTGAGATGGTAAAAGGTCAGTTTCCACCTGCTTAAAGCAGAAGGCAGCATGTTTGAAAACAGTAGAGAGACTGTAA